GAGAGAATCTGTGCTTTCAACTATCGAGTCTACCACTTAGTGAGATTGTGACAGAGAGTCGCATGAGGTTTGTGGGACATGTTCTCTGACAAAATGAATTAAGTATACCAAGAATTGTGATGACATGGAGGCCATTACGAGGAAGCACCAACCAGTGACAGATCTTTGTAGAGACACCTTGCCACCCAATGCGCCTAACGGCGTGGGAAGATCTAGATCTAAGTCTAAGTAATGTGCTCTCAGACCTCTGGAAATCATCGGCCACTTCCTGCACGAATACAGAGACCTGCTCTGGCGAAAGAAAACTGACACTCTCAAAGCACCACACAGGCTGCTCGTTGACCATCCTTTCGGTGGATGTCAGTAAAATGGGTCTGTAGGTCTTCACTTAGTCGCGTCTTTGCTATTTTAAAGGATTGGGGGACAATAATTTTTTCTGTTGCCTTGCTTTTTTTTATTTTGACTGTAAAATGATTTATTATGGCTAAGCACAATGTCCAAATACAGCCATATTGTCCACTTTATGTTCTTGAATACTGAAAAGTTCAAAGAACATTTTCAAACCACAATAGAGTAAAAATTTTTTTTAAATAATCATAAATTTATTTAGCAATGTGACACAGTCCTGAAAAAAGTTGAGTCTGTTTGCCCTCCTGTCAATACTTATGACCAGAATAAAAAAATGTTTAGCGAAGACTTGCTTTTTAATCTTAGAACGTATGAACACTATGCTCCAGTTACAACGCCAGCGTCTTGAATGTTGGAATACACAGATCTTTTAATTCCTAGCAATATGAACTCTATACATAATAGATCAAGGTAAGTGTATCTTGCTAAGTATGAACATTTAGAGCCGTGTAAATATTTGATTGATAGCAAATGTCAAAATATGCTCGAGCTTAAACGCTACACCATCACAATAATCATTTTATTTGTCACCAAAACTAGGTCAAGGAATAAAAAAACACAAAAACATGGGCAGAGGTCAAAGAAATGTACTTCTAAATAGAATATTTCTTTGACAAGACAAAGTCAATGCTATTGTTGATTAAAACTGTATTCCTAGCCTAGTTTGAACTCTAAACTTTCTGTCGATTAGAAATAAATGTTAACAATAATCCTTTTTTGTTATCTTATTGGGTCGGAGGATAGTGGCGGCTGAATATTAGCGCTGAGTGAAAAGAAATACAAGACAAATAGCAAGGGATTACCTCAAAGTATTGAAAATATGAAAAAAATTACGAGGGTCATTATGTTGTCAGGTCAATGCCGAGAGATCATTACTTAAATTTAATTAATAACTAGAACATGAACACAATGAGCTGTGGATAGAAGAGTAAATTTGCTACACACAAATAATGTAGCCACTTACCTCGAAATCAGTCTTATTAAAACAATGACCTATTTAAATATGTCCCCCTTGAAACAATGACCTACTTAAATAAGTCATATCGAAACATTGACCTATTAAAATATGTCCCATTAAAACTAACCTGCTAAAATAAGTCTTATCAAAACAATGACCTATTTAAATATGTCAAATTGAAACAATGACCTATTTAAATATGTCCAATTGAAACAATGATCTATTTAAATAAGTCATATTATAACAATGACTTACTTAAATTTGTCTTATTAAAGCAATGACCTACTTAAATATGCCACATTAAAACAAAGTACGTTATTAAACAATTATCTTAATGAACGACGAACCGTTGAAATAAGTGTATTTAGTTTACTTTAATAAATAAAGAAAATAAAAACTGTCCTAAGAAAACACGTGCATCCATTAGACACCAGACCTTAAAGTGCTAGTCTACCTTCAGACACCAGACCTTATAGTGCTAGTCTACCTTCAGACACCAGACCTAATAGTGCTAGTCTACATTCAGACACCAGACCTTATAGTGCTAGTCTACCTTCAGACACCAGACCTAATAGTGCTAGTCTACATTCAGACACCACACCTTACAGTGCTAGTCTACCTTCAGACACCAGACTTTATATTGCTAGTCTATTTCTTTGTGCCTACTCACCAACCCTTGCTGCACCGAAAGAGGACGAAGCCAGATTCTTCCAAGCTCTGGAGGATGTAATTAGAAACACCCCAAAGAACGAGCACCTTTATGTAAACAGGGATTGTCATGCCCGAGTTTGTGTTGAAAATGATGCTTGGCCAAAATGTTTTGGATCTCATGGTGTGGCAAGAGGCTATTTGAATACTGTAGCTCATAGGAACTGTGTATAACAAACACATTCTTCTATGGCAAGGAATGCCAAAAAAGATGGCACCAGCTTGACGTCTGTATCACTCGAAGAATGGATCATATAGACATATCTGTGATTATAATTATCTACGTCGCCAATCCCTGCGGGACACCACGCACGCACGCACGCCGACTCTCTAACCCTCCTTCAGATGTTAACACACTATCATTGGACTGGTTACATGAAGCTCTATTTGGATATTAAATATACTAACATACAATAATAAAAAGCTTCTTGAGCCCTTGAATTTACTGTTAGGTTTACAAATATTATAAAAGTATCCAGACTCTAGATCTAAATATATGTAGGCCTACAGGCTACAAGTAGTTTTTATTTAAAAAAATGGATTTAGGTCGATTAGCAATTTTAATATCTTCATTCATACAATTTTTACCTTCACGCATTCGCTTTCTAATAACATTATTATTTCATTTGTTTCCAAAACTCTCATTGACTATATCGACAGTGATACGCAAAATAAGACCCACGGGTCGCGGGTAATATGTGGCTAGTGTAATATGTAGGAGTAGTTCATTAATATGTCAAAATGAGTTGTTTTTATGTTTCTGAATCCTAGACAAACTGCACCTCACACTTTTGAGTTCCAGATTACCAGGTAAAAGGGTCATTTGATTTTTACTTTTTAAAAAAGTGTGTACATTACATTGGGATCACAGTGTGCATTTTTGATTGTTGACTCAATCTTTTCATTAAAGGAGGGAGAGAATAAGAGTTCGTGTTCATGATTGCTGCATTTTGTTCATAACTTTTTCATTATCAAGTTTATTTTTATTGAGTTTACATTCTATTTGTTAACAGAGTGATAGACATTCAATTATTATGTTGTTTTGCTGATGTTTTTCAACGCATATGAATTTTTACGAAGGAATTATATTTCTTAGTAGATAGTAACCTGTCATTAATTACATCTCTACAGTTATAGCTACAGTTTGTGGTGAGGCACCCTTTTCAATTTGAAATTACGGCCATTAATTTCATATCTTTTTGTTTCAAATCGAGTGTGTATCATTTTGAATAAATGAATGAGTAAACATGAATAAATAAATAAATTTGGAAGAAAATCTATCATCAAAAGACAGTTCTCTTACAAGAAAAAAACAACAAAGGTGTAAAGTGTAATTGTAGCAATTAGTTTGGAGCAGACATTGAATTAAATTTAAATAGGTTTAGACCAATAACTGCGATTAGAAATATTTTTACCAATTGTTTTTGTTTAGCGCGATTTCATGCTTTAGCCTTCTCAGTGCACTATGATCCTATCACTTGTCTGGACCAGTTGATAAAGGGGGAGGGAAGAAGGGGTTATCTGTGTGAGCGATAGTGTGATCGCTTTTTAAATACATACAAAAGTTTCAGGACGTGAGTTCCAACTCATGGTTCAAGCCTCCTCAAGGGGATTAATTCAACTTATACCACGACATTTGTCAAGTGTGATTCCTTGTTCGATACAAAACAAAATAATTAATTACTAATCGCAATTTTTAAAAATTGATTCTTGTTTTGTCAGGTACTAGAAATAATTTTGCAAAATTTCAGCTTGATCCGTGATAGGACGTGGGAAAATAAAGTGTACAAACTTTGTATCAGACAGACTGAAAGAGTGAGTAGACTGAAAGAGTGAGTAGACTGAAAGAGTGAGTAGACTGAAAGAGTGAGTAGACTGAAAGAGTGAGTAGACTGAAAGAGTGAGTAGACTGAAAGAGTGAGTAGACTGAAAGAGTGAGTAGACTGAAAGAGTGAGTAGACTGAAAGAGTGAGTAGACTGAAAGAGTGAGTAGATATCAGCTATATCAACAAGAAAAACATAAAAAATACTAAATAAAACAAAAAAAACCAACAAACAAACAAAGCACATATGAAGTGTAATTGTATCAGTTAGTTTGGATCAGTCATGTAATCAATTGTGTACAATATCTAGACCAATAACAACACGCCTCCTCGGGCGGACCTGCTAACCACACTGTTGATGAGGTACTTATGGCTAGACAAGATTGTATAGTTATATATTGCTTGTTTCAATCTTAAGCGTCGACTTATAAAGGGGACGACTAATTCAGCTTATATCACCATTTCAGTCAAGTACAATTTCTTTCCCTTGTTTGAGATAGCAAAACATTTTTTTCCCAATAGTTAATTAGCTATTTTTTTAAATTGATTCTTGTGTCATCAAGTAAAAGAATTTTTTTTGCAAATTTCAACCTGATCCGAGATTGTCGGAGAAATAACGTGTACAAACGTTTTACCAGACAGTTAGCAGATTCAATATAACCTTTGTCAAACACCTTGGGCGAATTATTGTAAATGGAAATATAGAACTTTTTTTTATGAGATAAAGCATAGGACTAGTTCTTTGACTTTTTCATGATTAATTTAGGCTAATCACAAGTTAAGATTATTTGTTTGACCCACTCCAATCTATCATGCATATAATAGGAGAAGAATAGGCATGTGGCGTGTATGACAGGGGCTGCACATGAGAACGATAGATTCATTGATTGATGGAGTGGGTGATTGAGCGAGTAAGTCAGAGAGATTGAGTGAGCAAGTGGAAGTGAGTGATTGATAATCAGGAGTGGATGATTAATTGAGCAGGTAAGTGATCGGTTGGGTAATTGAAAGTGATTGATTGATTGAGAGGCTATTAAGAGTGAATGATTGATTGAGCTAGTGATTGTGTGCAAGTCAAAAACAAAATAAATAAAAGTCTTCATCTATTTTGGCATAGTATTTATTCCCAAGATATCACTTGAACATAACCAAACACAGAACTCTTTAGATCTAACCACTTTGCTTCACTCCATCAATACATCGATAAGGTGAGTCTGATTTACAAAGAAATACTGACGGTAATTATCTGTAGAGCGCTGTCCGGGCTATTGCCACAGATTTCTTTCATTTTTTTTGTGTCATAAAATTTTAGATCTTCCAAGTATCAATATGTACACATCCTTATTTTAAATAGTTTTAAATGTAATGTCAGCCAGTTGCAAGTTTGTCAACTCCAATATTTGAAACTAGTAATTCAAATGTAATATATATCAATCAATTAATCTTGATATAAATGTAAATTTTTTTTACTTGCTAATGAAGTTTACTAATTTGTTTAATTAGAATCAGCTGGAAAACTGGATTGATTGAATTTCTGAGCACATTAAGTTTGGCTGCAATTTAACATCATTACACTCTTGTTTCGATTCGCTTAATGCTAATGTTGTAATGCTAATGTTGTAATGCTAATGTTGTAATGCTAATGTTGTAATGCTAATGTTGTAATGCTAATGTTGTAATGCTAATGTTGTAATGCTAATGTTGTAATGCTAATGTTGTAATGCTAATGTTGTAATGCTAATGTTGTAATGCTAATGTTGTAATGCTAATGTTGTAATGCTAATGTTGTAATGCTAATGTTGTAATGCTAATGTTGTAATGCTAATGTTGTAATGCTAATGTTGTAATGCTAATGTTGTAATGCTAATGTTGTAATGCTAATGTTGTAATGCTAATGTTGTAATGCTAATGTTGTAATGCTAATGTTGTAATGCTAATGTTGTAATGCTAATGTTGTAAATGTATGAAATACAAGTAGAAAAAAAACAAGAATTACCCACTGTATTCCCCAGCAGGGGATCCGAACACATCATATGACCTCCTCAATGTTTTTGATTGATTTCTATATAAATAACACACATATACATACAGAAAGACAGCTTACAATTATATTAACAGTTAACTTTTAACAGTTCTAGTTATAATCAATTAACATCATTAATTAGTTTACTAATAAGTTTCTTTAAAAACTATGTAGTCTTTCCATTTTATTTGTGATATGTCCTTGTTTCCCATCTTTGTTCTCTACAACTCTTGGTTATCATCAAGGGCTCTCCTGGAAACAAACTATGGCTCATCCCCATTTCAATTTAGCAACCATAATTATTGGGTTTGCCTCTGACGCTTGCGCAGCAACATATCCTTTTAACTGGAGAAGAAAAAAAAGAAAGAAAATAAAATTAGATGACAATTTGATATGTCAAGGTCAGTTTTAATACATAAGTTGATATCACAAAGTCAGTTTCAGTACATAACAAGTTGATAGAACAAAGTCAGTTTCAGTACATAACAAGCTGATATAACAAAGGCAGTTTCAATGCATAACAAGTTGATAGAACAAAGTCAGTTTCAGTACATAACAAGTTGATAGAACAAAGTCAGTTTCAGTACATAACAAGTTGATAGAACAAAGGCAGATATAATACATAAGAAGTTGATAGAACAAAGTCAGTTTCAGTACATAACAAGTTGATATAACAAAGGCAGTTTCAATGCATAACAAGTTGATAGAACAAAGTCAGTTTCAGTACATAACAAGCTGATAGAACAAAGTCAGTTTCAGTACATAACAAGTTGATAGAACAAAGTCAGTTTCAGTACATAACAAGTTGATAGAACAAAGTCAGTTTCAAAGCACAACATGTTTGTCCGATACCTTAGATTTTCCAAGTGACAGGTTTATGAGTTATGTTCAATTTTACAAAGCTCATATCAACTCACTCTGCTATCAACTTACTCTGCTATCAACTCACTCTGCTATCAACTCACTCTACTATCAACTCACTCTGCTATCAACTCACTCTGCTCTGAACTCACATGGTAAAAAGTTTGTACAAGTTATTTCTCCCAAACCCGATTTCGGATCAAGTTCAAATTTTGAACAATTATTTCTATTACCTGATAAAACAAGAACCAATTTAAAAAATTAACCATTTAGTTATTAACTATTGGTAATTAATTATTTTGTTTGGTACCTTGAAAAGGGGAAAGAAATCGTACTTGACAGAAGTTGTTTGTATAAGTTGAATTAGTCCCCTTGAGCACTCGAGCCCTGAGTGAACATTTTTTAATGCATTTCCAAAACGCCAATGTAAACATTCACCAAGAGACCCCCCCCCCCCCCTTTCTTCCGTTCCCCTGTCCCAACTGGTCTAGACAAGTGATAGGATCATAGCGCACTGAGGAAGTTAAAAGCTAAACAAAAAGTCAAAAACAATTGATAAACTATTTCTAATTGCATAGATTTATTATGTCTAAATCGATCGTTAATATAATTGTATGACTGATCCAAACTAATTGATACAATTGCACTTAATATAAGCATTCTTTTAGAGTATTTTAAAAAACATTTTTCTTGTTATTTCATTCATTAAAATTTGATATGTGACAGGTTTTTTTTTTTTTAGATATGTTCATTTTTATGTCATGCTTTTAGATTTAATATGTGACGGGTTTATTAAGAAATTTAGAATTTACGTGTAACATAAATTCATATGTTTTATGTTTTTTTAATAAGTTTAGAAGTGATATGACACGTTTTTAAATAAATTTAGAATTCATGCGGAATAGTTATATGTTCAGCTTTTAATAGATAACAAGAATATGTGACCTATTTATTGTTTCTAATTCACTTTTGATTTATGGCAAATTTATTTATATGCTGTACTTCGTATTAACACTTAATAAGTTGTTACGATATATGTGTACTGTGAAGGCTAACAAAATCAGTTTCCATATAAACACAATGAATTCTGATGTAAATCACTTCACAGAAAGTTCAAGTCAGTCCCAATAAAGTAGACGCCACCATTTCCATGACAATTAAATTACAGCTCTTCAATGTAACGGTTGTTAGGAAGTTAACGAAATGATCAACAATGGTACTTTCAAAATAGGTCATACAAGATAAACCAAGATGTCATATAGCTATTAGAGAAGGATAAAACAAGATTGAAAATTACTTGCATACGCCGCTATTTTGCAGGGACGGCCTTAGGCTACTGCAACCTATGCGACCGCAGTGGGCCCCGCACTTTCATAGGACCCGCGCTAATTCTTCCATAATTAAACCATTTAATTTTCACTTATAATTCGTATCCCAACCCAAACTGGGCTTTGCGAATTCTGTTTCGCATAGGGCCCCACAATGGTTAAGTCTGAGTCAGAGTAGATTACTTGTTCTCCCTCCCCTCTTTTTTTCGCCGCTAAAACTACAAGAGTGACCTTTCCACGACTTCTTGGTCAAAACCGTTAAGTCCGGCCCTGCTATTTTGTGACTGGTGAATACTACTTGTTCTCCCCCTTTTTTTTAGTAGGGTAACTCTAGTCCGCCTTGCAGAAATAAAAGAGGGATTTCTTCTTTATTTCTTGTCCAAACTTTTGAGCCATGAAAAGAATTATTTAAATATATATATATATATATATATATATATATATATATATATATATATATATATATATGTTAGAGAGCGCTGTCATTGAGTAATCTCCAGACAATTATTTAGGTTACCGAAGGGAGATAATATAGTACGATGTTGCTTCGTTATTGATATACTCTACTAAGGGAGATTAGAATGCGTTAAAATATTTACTTATTTATTCATTTTGAAAGCGTTGTTATGGACTGAATTAGTGATCATTTAATACTGGAGTTATCCTTCCTTAACTGGGTGTCCATTTCAACTTGTCTATTTACCTTTGTCTTTGTAGGGATTCTATTAGGGAAGTCACTTGTTTATTTACCCTCAAATTGCTATTCCTCAATCATCATAATTATATCTATATAGCAAGGCTTTGCTGTTCTTTTCATATGCACAGTGCTCTTTGGTCTAATCTCTTTTGTGGACACGTAAGTGGAGTGGGTATCTTAGAGGAGAAAGCTAAAGACATCTCTCTCTCTCTCTTTCTTTCTCTCTCTCTCTCTCTCTCTCTCTTGGCCTATCTCTCGTTATTGCGGATTTTCAGTATAAGTCTCACTTCTTAACAATGTCAAGGACGTAATATGAAAAGATTATTGTTGCCAACCAGAGAATACAAACTAGTTTGTCCTATACAATCAAAAGAGCTTAGAATCTGAAAAATTTATTTTTTTAAATGCATAGCTTATCAACCCTTTCTTTATTCCTTAAACACCGGATACACCAAATATCTCGCTATTTAGGCCTATAATATTATTCTGTTCCACAGGACACACCAAATAACTCGCTATTTAGGCCTATAGTTTTATTCTGTTGCACAGGACACACCAAATATCTCGCTATTTAGGCCTATAGTTTTATTCTGTTCCACAGGATACACCAAATATCTCGCTATTTAGACCTATAGTTTTATTCTGTTCCACAGGACACACCAAATATCTCGCTATTTAGGCCTACAGTTTTATTCTGTTCCACAGGATACACCAAATATCTCGCTATTTCGGCCTATAGTTTTCCACCAAAGATGAAACTATCCAAAAGTAGGCCTACTAATTTGTATCTTAAGTATAAATATACATTTGACTTTAGATTTGTACTGTAATAACTCACAGTTTTTAGAATGTACATAAACTCTACTAGATGTTTAAGTGTTTTAAACGGAATTAAGTTGTACAAAGCTGAATTGGTCAGTAGATCTAAAACATAACAATGTAGTACAAAGCTGAATTGTTCAGTAGATTTAAAACATAACAATGTAGTACAAAGCTGAATTGTTCAGTAGATCTAAAACATAACAATGTAGTACAAAGCTGAATTGTTCAGTAGATTTAAAACATAACAATGTAGTACAAAGCTGAATTGGTCAGTAGATCTAAAACATAATAATGTAGTACAAAGATGTAGGAGAGAGTAGATCTAAAAATTAATCATGAAAAAGTCATGACCTTTTATCTCTATTCTGCATTGATTTTTTTTCCAAAAACAAACATGAATAAACATAACGGCAACATTTCTATAAAATAGATAAATCACCTTTTTGTAATAATGGTCCGTCTTTGTATCTGGCTACAAAACTTGTGTCTGCATCTGAAACAGAGAACTGGTCAATTATTTGTATTTCCTAATGGTGCTCTAGAGTTGATTTAACACTAATGACCAAATACAAGTGGATGAACGTTGGTTACTTACATGGCATTGGTCAGTATAGTATGAAATGACATGTTTTAGGTCATCATATTATGAAATGACATGTTTTCCCCGCCCCCCGATATAGAAAGATGGTATGATGTCATCATGTTATGAAGTGACACGTGATTTGTCATCATGTTATGAAATGATATGTTATTGGTCATCATGCTATGAAATGATATGTGATTGGTCATCATGTTATGAAATGATATGTGATTGGTCATCATGCTATGAAATGACACGTGATTGGTCATCATATTATGAAATGATATGTGATTGGTCATCATGTTATTAAATGATACGTGATGGTCATCATG